TTCATTGAGTGCCCATGAGTTCTTGTACTGTGAGAAAGGGAGAAAAGTACTTCTTTTTCTACCTGCTCTATCCCATGCATAATCTTGTAAACCTCGATCATGTCACCCCTCAGTAGTTATTTCTCCAAGCTGAAGAGCCCCAAGTGCTTTACCCTTTCTTCATAGGGAAAGTGTTCCAACCCTTTTATCGTTCTAGTTGCCCTTTTCTGCACTTTTTCTAATGCTATAATTTCCTTTTGGAGGTGTGGTGACCAGAACTGTACACAGTATTCCAAATGAGGTCGCACCATCAATTTATACAGGGGCATTATTATACTGGCTGATTTGTTTTCAATTCCCTACCTAATAAACCCCAGCATAACGTTGGCCTTTTTTATTGCAATCACAGACCGTCTCGACATTTTCAGTGAGTTATCTACTATGACTCCAAGATCTGTCTTGGTCAGTCTCTGCCAGTTCGGGCCCCATCAACGTGTATGTATACTTAGGATATTTGGCCACAATGTACATCACTTTGCACTTGGCCACACTGAACCCCATTTGCCACATTGTCAACCACTTGCCCATTCTCGACAGATCCCTTTGGAGTGCCTCACAATCCTCCCTGGTTCTCACCACCCTGAACAATTTCGTGTCATCCACAAATTTAGCCATTTCACTGCTTACTCCCAACTCCAAATCATTAATGAACAAGTTAAAAAGCATCGGATCGAGTACTGATCCCTGTGGTACCCCACTGCTTACCACTCTCCACTGAGAAAATTGCCCATTTATACTCACTCTCTGTTTCATATTAATTTGCCAGTTTTTGATCCACAAGAGGACTTGTCCTTTTATCCCATGACTATTAAGCTTACTTAGAATCCTTTGATGAGGAACTTTATCAAAAGCTTTCTGAAGTCAAGGTAAATAACATCTATTGGGTCCCCCTTGCCCACATGTGTGTTCACCCCCTCAAAGAACACTAACAGGTTAGTGAGACAAGATCTTCCCTTACAGAACCCATGCTGAGTCTGCCTCAATAGTTTTTGTTCATCAATGTGCTTACTAATTCTCTCCTTAATAACAGTTTTCACCAGCTTACCCGGTATTGACGTTAGACTGACTGGCCTGTAATTTCCCGGATCTCCTCTGGAACCCTTTTTAAAGATGGGAGTGACATTAGCTACCTTCCAGTCCTCGGGAATGGAGACACATTTTAATGAAAGATTACATATTTTTGCCAGGAGATCCACACGTTCACATTTGAGTTCTTTCAGAACTCCCGGATGTATGCCATCTGGGCCTGGTGATTTATCAGTTTTTAAGTTTTCTATCAGTCGTAGGACCTCCTCTCTTGTCACCTCAATCTGACTCAGGTCTTTCAACACCCCTCCTGAAATCAGTGGTTCTGGAGTGGGCAAGCACTTCTCATCTTCCACAGTGAAAACAGAGGCAAAAAATGTACTCTCTGGCCACAGCTAAAGAATCCTGGGTAGCAGGTCAGGAGGAAAATCTGCCTCTAATCTTTGAAAACCACTGCCACTCAGGACAGATAGCACTAGATGGGCCAATGGTCTGACAATTTTCATATTTCCCAACCCATTCCTTCTATTCATACCCTAAACAGCTGCCTCCACCATATACAGATGACAAATCTCTCATCACAATTTCAGAGCTAGCTGTCTCATCCCTTCCTTTCCACTCATCCAACTTGAGTCAAGTCCCAATCCGTTCTGTGCATTATTTCCTCCACTGATACCCCTCCAAAGTTCTCCTTTCTCATTTTATTCTTCCACACTATTCCAACAACACTCTTCTAGAACTTAAAGCAACGCACCCTTTCCTTCCAGTTACCCAATTAAGCAGAGAAGACCTCCATGTTCTAACACTGACCTAGATTCCCATCATGCAAACCATGCTCTATTCCTGATTGACCTCCTACCCAAAAGCAACAACAAGCCTCCTATCTAAACAGAGTGAATCCATGATATCCTCAGTTCAAATCTTGCTTCTGATGACTTAGGAAAACTGCCTTCTTAGCTCTCCTTCTTTCCTCCCGCCCCCCCATTTACAATATTGGGACAACGCAGGCCAGCCGTACAAGGCTGTTATAAGGATGACAAAACAGCATAGGAGGTGCTAAATACTACAAGTGCTAAATGAACACTATTAGTTGGATTTTTCACTTTTTTGAATTTTACAAGGAAAGCCCCTCAGCAGGTACTTTCCTATGAGAGCTCATCTCACAATAAAACCTATCATTAAGGTGTCACAAAACATTTTGCTGCAATTCATCAGCAGAAATGTATAAAACTGGGTGACAAAGTTGCAGTCCCTTTCCACACTTACTGTTGGAAAGTCCCACTGTTTGCAGCACAGTTTTTCAGCAGAGTTATCAGTATAATAACAGCGATGATGACAAACTGTTTATGCAACACTTTCAAATGTTTAAAACCCTTCATATACATAGTTCAGCTGTTATCACTGCAGGACAGGGGAGCTAAATCCAAGTGTGTGAATGTTTGTAAACTGCCATATGCAGTCTGACCCTACAGAGGTTCGACAGATAAACAGCACAGATGGATCATGGCACAGATGGATCATGGCACAATCATATAAATACATGTAACTGCCTTGCAACATTGGTCCACTTTGCTCAGTACATCTATCCTGACTTACAGGCCCTTCTTTGGCTACTGCCCAAGATCTTTGGCTTGCAGATACCAGGGGCTGGACCCCAAACGTTCTTTAATACTCCTAGCAAGTCGAAAAGCAGCACAGGAAGTCAAGAAAATCATCTCTCTGCTGTAGTGACCTTCTATTTACAGGGATTTTAAAAAATGCACGCAGACACTGGAAGCTAAATCCACCCCCTCCCCATCTGAAGAGGCCATAATAAGGTTTTAAAACATCAAGGCTCTGCCCCTCCGTTTTCCTGCACAGGGAGAGGAGTCAATGGGGCATGATAATTAAGAGCATTGGTCTACTCTAGGGCCAAGGCGAGCCATGCTCAAATCCTCACTCCGCCATAATGATGATGATGATTGATAATAATGAACCTGGCCGGGTGACCCTAAGTGCAATTCGTTCTCTCTCCACTCAGTCCATCTCACAGGGTTGTTGCGATTAAAAGGGGGGGGGGGAGACAAATACGTATGCCATCCTAAAACGCCTTGGAGGAAGAGTGGGGGGGTGGAATAAAGCGACAGAGACAAATATACGTGAGCCGAGCCCCTTTCCCCTCCCTGCCCGCCGCTCCCTCGCTCGCTCACTCTTGCGGGCCTCAGCGACCTTCTCGGCGGCCCTCTTCTCGGCCTGCAGCAGCTGCTGGATGCCCTGCGACTGGCTAGCCATGGCTGGCAGCAACGTCGGCTCGGAGTCGCGGCGCCCCCCTGCAGCTCCTGCCGGCCCTTCCGCTCCGCGCTCCGGACCCTCCGCAGCTGACTTGGCAAGAATGACCACGGGGCAGGCGGTCAGCTGATCTGTCACGTGACGGGAGGCGCGCGGGCGGCGCCCTCACCACTGGCCGCGCCCCTTCCCGCTCTCCGCTTTCTCTCTTCCCGTAGAGTTTAGGGGAAAGACGGGCGCCTAGCCGTGACATGCGGGACGTCGCTCTAGGACACGACGCGTCTATGGCGAAAGCGGAGAAGAGCCGCAAGCTCTTCCGCGTGCCTATAGAAAACGAGATGGGTGGCTTCCCCCCCCCCCTTTAGCATTTTGTGTCGCTCTTTTGCCGGACATCTCGATCGTGCAAGAAACCTCCTTCCCTCCCTCTGGATTGGGCAATGGGAGATTAAAGGGGGGGGAGCGGGGAAATATACCGGTTTGCATCAGGAGTTTTGCCTGTAGCCTTCCACCCAATCTCTATTTTAAATGGTTAAATTGTTAAACTCCTTAGTTTTGTTTAAAATTGGTAGATTATTAGTTAGAGGACTAAATTACTAGATTTTGTATTTGTATAATAAAAATCTGGGACGTACTAAAACTAAGGACAGCGATTGCCCATAGGGAATGCATGAGTGCCCATAGAGAATAATGGAGAGTAGGCTTGCCCAGAGGGGATAGTGCAGTACACCATTGCCAATAGAGAATCCATGATTGCCCATAGGGAATAATGGAGAGGTCGCTGGCCCATAGGGAATAATGGAGTACATAATTGCCAATAGAGAATCCATGATTGCTCATAGGGACATAATTGCCAACAGAGAATCCATGATTGCCCAAAGGCAATATTGCCCAGAGGTCATTCCTG